ACGGCCACCGTCGCCTCCACCTGCGCTGGTGGGGTCACCACCGGCTGCGTCGCTCTCGCCACGTTCGGCGCCACGAGCGCGGCCGACAACTCCGTCCGCCCCATTGTCGGCAATGATATCGCCGCCATCACCGGCCGCTCTAGGGCCACCGAAGGCGCCCCTTGGGCCCCCATGTCCGCCCGTCCTGCTGAGGGCACGGGCGCCATTGTGGACGGTGCCTGTCCGACCAAAGACGCAGTCGCACTGGCGCCGCTCCCGCCCGAAACGGGTGCGGTGCCAGCTGACGGCTGTCACCTCGCTCAGAGGGCAACGCTCTTCTTTGGTGCCAGCACCAAAGGATTACGCTACCTCCCAATGCTGCAGGAACGAAAAGCATAAATCACGATGTAATCCGTCCAAAATAGAGAAAGCAGGGGAACTGCTAACTTACATCAGCGACGTCCGGCGGCATATGCGTTTGGGGGGCGAACCCCCTGACCTCTGCTCTGCCTTATTAGGGTGAGGCCATTTCAAGCCCGCCTCTGGCTCCTAGGCAGAGCCTGCCTCCTGCTCTTGGGCAGAGGGGCTCGCTCCCCTTAGCACTTGGGGGCACGATGGTGGAGTCGCCCGCCTTTGATGGAATCTCAGGCACGGCGGTAGAGCCGCCCGCCTCCGTTGACTCCTGCCTAGGGCCGACGGTACATCCCGCCTCCGCCGGCTCCTTAGATGTACCCTCCCCTCCATGGAACGGCAAGGGTCCTGACGCCTGCAAGGACGAACCAGTAGCTGTCAGCGCATCCTCGTCCTCCAGGATGTCCCACTCGACATCATCGGCTACCTCATTGTCGTCGTCACTATCATCATCATCGTCGATGTCGATGTCCTCCCCTAATTCCCACGCCTGTAGCTTCTGCTGCCTCTTCCTCTTCTTGTCCTCCTTCACCTTTCTCAGCCGCTCGCCCTCGGCATGGTTCGCTGCCCTCACGGACGGATCCCTTGGCAACGTCGTCGGATGATCCATGAGGATGAGATCCCTCGGCTGGTCACGTCCCTTTCAAAGTTAGTATCGGGAGGTTAGGAAATCAATTAAAGAGAAGGCATGAGAAGGGGAAACTTACAAAGACGACGTGGCCTGATTTTGGCCGCATCGGAGGATATCCCAGCACCGGGTAGATGAAGTCAAGGGGGCACCTGCGTCATCATGCGAAGGGTCCATCGCCTCCTTAATGCGCTGTGCGATCTCAGAGTTGGGGAGCGCCCCCTCGGCGAGCATCGTTCCATCGAACGATGCCTCGGGCGTCATCGCGTACAACGGGAGCGCGCACGTCATCAATGGCGCCACCCTCCTTGCATGGTATGCCTCAATGATGCCCGACCCCTTCAGGGCGTTCTCCTTGAGGATGTGGATGGCGGCGATGTGATCCTAGATCCTCTTCTTGTCCTTCTCCGGGACGCCCCACTTCCTCCATGACTCCAGAGTCTCCTCGATCAGGCGCCCGGTGAACTCCAGTAGGGCGGTGACAGCGTTGTTCTTAAGGTAGAACCACTGTGAATAGCACCCCTTGTTGGACATTGACAGCCGCATCGACGGGTACTCGCCGACCCGGTTGTTCTAGAGTTGGATGCCGGCATACCCCATCGACATGTGCAACTCCTGCCGGCTGCTCTTCTCCCTCTTCTTCTTGAGGGTGATGGCGAAGAAGTACCTCCACAAATTGAAGTGGGGGCTGATCCCTAGGAATCTCTCGCACAAGGCAACGAACGCCGCCTTGTGCTGGATCCCATTGGGGTTGAGATGCTGTAGCTCAATCTTGTAGTAGTGCAGCAACCCCCAAAAAAATCTATGGGTAGGGGTCGTGAACCCACGCTCGTGGAAGTGGGTGAACGACACCACGTAGCTATCGGGCAGCGACGGCACGTCCTCCTCACCGGGCAGCAGCCACGGTCCACGCGCGGAGAAGACTGTGGTGGACGAGGCCCTCCATGTGCTGGAAGGTGATGTCAGAGCGGCACCACGGGTCCATTGGAAGATGGGGGTGGGTGGATGTGAGCTCGACGGCGGTAGGGACGCAGATGCAGGACACCTAGATGATTTGCGGCGACGGGTGTAGATGCGAAGGCGAGAAGGCAAGGTATGAAACCCGAGGGGGTGAACCCTTTGGTTTTATAGGGGCAACAGATGCGAGGAAACCAATCGCTGTCTAGATCTCCACGCTTGCCATGATCTGCCACAACGTCATGCCACGGGATATGCGCACGCGATTTCTATCCGTTCTCTCGAAAAAATCGCCGGATGTTTCGCCTTCCTGAACGGATCACGAACCGTCACAGGTAAAAGGGAAATGGATCTAAAAACATCTCTACGACCTGTCTAGGCCCGGGAGCTCAAAGGTTGGCCCATCAATGGGTTCAACAACTACTTCGGTCACCTTCAAAGTGAGGAAGTGGAAAGGGACGGACCCACTAGCGACCAGCACCCAAGCGCACAAAAAGCTGCGGGCATCCTGACCCATATTCGAGTCTTGGCCAGATACATCCATGGTTTTTCCTCAAAGAAAGGTAGAGAGCCCACGAGACTGGTCGAACGGACCCGAGAACTATATGGATTGACCACTGAGAATCTAGAGTCGGTCACCAGCTGGCCCTAGCCAGATCCCTACAAATGGGATACCAGGGCTCCTATCAGGAAAGACCCTTTCTAAACCACCAAAACTCATGGCCATACCCACGAAGGGTCCGGTCTCAATGAAAGGGAACCATCGTTCCCAGGTTGCGCCATGGGCTACAAAAGAAGGCCATAGCCCTCAGAGTCCTACCGTTCAAAAAAGCCTTTGAAGGAGTATTCTACTCCTCTGAAGGCTCGGAGGCTACTGTCGGGGACCAATACTAAGGTACCCGAAGAGGAGGGGCTAAAGGTCGTTATACGTTAATCCATCAAGACAGTCAAGGGTGCGACTGCAGCTCCGACCGACGCCAAGGCCGTGGGCTCTGCCTCGCCCGACCTCTAAGGGCAGGCTTCGCCTCTCCTGATGTCTAAGGGCGGGCTCCGCTTCGCCCGACGTCTGAGGGCGGGCTCCGCTTCGCCCAACGTCTGAGGGAGGGCTCCATCTTGCCTGACCTCTAAAGGCAGGCTCCGCCTCACCTGACTTCCAAGGGTGGGCTCCGCTTCGCCCGACATCTGAGGGAAGGCTTCGCCTCGCCCGACCCCGAGGGCGGGCTCCGCCTCGCCCGACCCCCGAGGGTGAGCTCCGCCTCGCCCGACGTCTGAGGGTGGGCTCCGCCTCGCTCGACATATGAGGACTGGCTCTGCCTCGCCCGATCCCTCGGGCACGGCTCCTAACGGAAAGCTCACACCGCCGTCAACCACTACATGCTAGAAAGTACAACCCAAGGTCAAATTTCTAGCATCGTGTAGGGAGCGGTCACGTCTCAATACTACCCGTCCCCACGATATGTCATTCCAGAGAACTCATATCGCCCACAGTGACACACATGTGGTCACTAGCTTCCTACTCCCTGTACGGCCACCGATCAGCACGCTGGTTCGCCGCGCCACCCGCTAGGGCAGAATAGGACGTCACGACCCGCTGACAATGCTAGGGCATGTCATCATCGATGGACAGGCGCCCGGCGTGGAGCTGTCTCTGTCACCACCTACCGTGTCAGCGGGACCCGCGTAGAGGAAAAGAAAGGCCCGGTGACTCTGAAGGACTTTCGGGCCCTCTCGATCTCCCTACTTCACCCACTGTAACCCCTGCTTTCCCTTGGTCTATAAAAGGGAAAGTAGGGCGTCCCACTAAGGGGCATCGAAACAACTCAAACCCCATCGCATCACAACACATCGAAATCACTAGCATCGGACCTCGAACACATAGCCGAGTACGACCGAGCTCTCGGCACCCACTCGTTCTTTCCACCAGAGACTTGGAACCTGTTCCTTTCTCGCCCGTTTGTAACCCCTACTACGAACTTTTCAGTGCTAGTAACACGAGCTACAGCAATGAACTGGACGTAGGGATATTCTGCCTGAACCAGTATAAACCTCGTGTCCTCTTAGCACACCATCCGAGCTAGACGCACAATATTAGAAATTTACTAGTTGGTGTTTACTCAAAACACCGACAAGATATTTTTTTCTTTTTTATTTAGGGAGGAGGTAGAAACAAAGAAAACCTATGTTGAGCTGCTGAGTGAGCTCTTTCTTTTACCAATAAACTACTGAGTTAGCTTTATTTTAGCAGAAACTGCTGAGTTAGCTGAGTGCCTGAGTTAGAAGAAGACTAGGAAGCGCAAAGGCGATCGCGACCCAAGCCCAACCATAGTTGGCCATGCAGCCCGAGCCCATCGACCCAACCCAAGGCCCGTTTTTTGGCACGGCCCGGCCCGACGGCTAGCGGGCTCGGGCTGGCCCAGCACGGAGTAGCAGGCCATGACTGGGCCTTACCCTAGGCACGTGGGCCGGCACAGCACGGCCTGCTATAGAACAGGCGGCCCGCTAGCGGCCCGGCCTGCCGCCCCCCGCTCGCACCCTCCCCACGCCCTACTCCTCGCTCCCTGGCTCCTCGCTCACCCCCAGTCCCCGCGCCCCACTCACGATTCCCTGAACCCTAAGTCCCTAACTCCCTTCCCCTCCCCCTCCCCGTTGCCCCGCGCAGTCCCCTCCCCATGTGGCCTCCCTCCCTCCTTCCCTCTCCCTCGCCGTGTGCTGGCCACCCTCCCTCTCCCTTCTCTGGTGCGCTCACCTCCATCCCTTCCTCTCCCTCCTCTGTTCCGCTCGGCTCTCTTCTCTTCCATGGCGGCGACGTCACATGGCCCTAGAGCGGCGGCGCGCGGTCCTTGAGGAGCGGCGACGTGTGGTTCTCGAGGGGCGGCGGTGCGGCCAGGAGCAGGCGGTGCATCCACCGAGCTCGTAGCCCCGATGAGATCTAGATCCGACGGCTTCGTGAGATCCGGCGCGAGGAGGCGGAGGACGACGAGATCCACGCGCGAGGAGGCGTGTGGCGCTCCCCGACGGCGGATCCATGGTGAGCGCGCTCATCGGTGGCGGATGCAGGGCATGCCAGCTCGTCCTCCGGCAGCGGATCAAGGGCGGTGGCATCCCCTGGTTGCGGATCCAGGGCGTGCTCGGCCTCCGACGGCGGATCTAGGGTGGTGGCATCCCCGACGGCGGATCGAGGGCGGGCGCGACCGGATCCAGGGACGACGAGCGTGGTGGCTGGCCTCAAGTGGCTCCTCCGGATCCAGCTTCGAGGGCGTCAGCCTCCTCGGTGGCGAGAGCGCTGGCCTCCTCAGAATTCGGCGTCGATCTCCTCGGTGGCGAGCGGCGGCGACCCCCTTCCCCTCTCTCTCTCTCGGGCCTCGGGCTGGCACGGCCTGTGAAATTGGTCGTGCCTCGCGGGCCGGCTCGGCACGGAAATCGGTCCATAGTGCCGTGCCTAGGCCGGAGGCCAGGCCCATGGCCCTACGAGGCACGGCGTGCCGTGCCAGCCCGTTGGCTATCGGGCCGTGCTGGCACGGGCCCTTGCCGGGCCGGCCCGGCCCGGCCCGTTGGCCATATATAGGCCCAAGTGCCCAAGTGCGGAAGTGCCCAACTGCCCATCCATTGGTCTAGCCCACCGCCCGCCACAGGGCACAGGCTAATAAAATTCCCCATTCCAACGCACACAGATCTCGCACCCGGCAGTGGCGACGAATCTCGCGGGGGCGGAGGCGCGACAGAGGCGGTGTCGACTCCGACGAACTCGCAGCCACCGGTGGAGACGCACCACCGGCGCACGCACTCCTCCAACGTATGTTCCTGCCCTCGGTCTCCCTTTCCTCTCCCCTTCACCATTTTCTTGCTCGATTTCGATCACCAACAACAGTCCAACCGCGTGGAGCACTGGTTTGTAGTTCCATTTAGCTTATCTGAGATGATTCGCCAAGTCTCCGCCGGGCCTTTTGCCGGCGACGAGCATAATAAAACTGGCAAGGCCGCCCCTTAGCTTCCCTTACGGCCATGCGCAACCGAGCACGCCAATTCTGGCCAGATCCAGGCGTCCTTTCGCCGCTCTGTTATGCCAAATCCTTTTTTTTTTCTTTCATTCATGGCGACCACCACACGTCATGGTTAGCTTTGCTCCTCTAGATCCAGGCCGCCTCTGTCAATTTTCTTCTCTGTGTACTCTCCTAGATCCGGGGCTGCTTTTGTCAATTTTCCTGTAGGTTCAGGTACAATGCGCGTCCACACGTTTTTCCGGCCCGTTTACAATGTGCTACCCCGAATCTGAAATTCTGAATGATGTCAAGGGTAGTGTTCTTTTGGATGACTACTCCTTTTGATCTTTCTTTACTTTCATTGACCTCGGACGATGTGATGCCTGTAGTATACTGGTAATCACATCAGCTTTGCACCAGTGCTATGCGGTTGATATATGTCCCTGACAATGCGTTAATAATACGATGCAAAAAATGGCTGTTTGAGCACCTTGATTTGTTTCCATGTACGTGTTGTTGGGTAACTAAATTAAAACCATTATGGTCCTCTCTAATCGTTCCCTGCATCATGTGATACAACTGATTGATACCTTGTTTAGTGTTGATTAGTGGCATGTTTAATTTGAGATCGCATCACAGGGGAAAATCGGTTGCCTTGTTCATGTCTTTGATAGCTACTGTTGATTGCTGAAATAAATTGCTTTAAGTGATTGCGATTACCCCTTCATTTTTCCCAGTTCTGACAATCATTAGTCATGTTGTATTCTCATTGTGATTGCTGATTGTGTAATTGTTTTCATGTGACAGGTTCATAGTTTAAGGGCTTGGTTTGAATAATTGTAGTCATCAACAAAAGCGATAAAAAATGGTATGGCTAGTTGGTTTCATTATGTTTTTACTTTTAATCCTCTTGCTAGTCGCTAGGTAGTGCTAATAAACTTATTTAATCTTCTGATTTCAAGGAATCTCTATACATTTATTCCTTTGCTATCATTGAGTTATTGTATCTTGTTTCTTATAGGTCTGATTTTTTTTAATCGTTTGTGTACCCCTAGGTGGTTCTTGCAGCTTCAATCGTTTCGAAGTCGGGAAAAGGTTTGGTGCTTCAGTTAATCAGATCCTTCATTATTGCCGATTCGCAAAGGAATTGATTTTGTAATTTATTTATCTGCTATAATAACTCTAGTCACCATCTATTATAACACTAATAAATTTGGTGCAATATCTGGTATCATGTTGCTAACTACTCAATCCTTTTCTAATAACAAGTCTTTGGGTTCACATAATATGAAACTACTATGTGTTTAAGTTTATCTAGCTCCCCCCCAATTATCCTTTTAAAGTGAACGGACTTGGCTGAGGGCTGTTCTTTTTTCTGTTTTCAATTGCAGCACTTGTTTCAAGACAGTTCGTTGACATGTCTCGGATAAGAATTGAAGGATTACTTGCTGCGTTCCCGAAACTGGTTGGAACTGGGAAACAGCACACTTATGTTGAAACTGAAAATGTGCGTTATGTTTATCAACCTATTGAAGGCTTATATCTTCTACTCATCACAAACAAACAGAGCAATATTCTTGAAGATCTGGACACTTTGAGGCTCCTCTCCAAGCTTGTATCCTACTCTGACAAATATTAATCTTCTCACTCATTGGAATTTACCTTATTTATATAATCCTATTTAGTCTAAGAATTAAAAATAGAACCTAGGGGTTGGGGGTGGGGAAAAGGTTGGTCTTGACCTTTTCCTTCATAATGATAAGTACAAGATAACTGTACTGTCTATTCCTGTGGAGTAAATGGAAGTTTTAGGTTTACATTACATCCAAGCTAATCTAGATTTTTACATATTACTGAGGGGGAAAACGTAAAAGTAGCGACCACTTTAAACATCTGATGCTATCTATGCAAAACCTTTACCAATATGAATCTCATTTTTGAGTGCTCTGTATATATCAACTCTTTTACTATTCTGTGGTGTGTTCTTTCACAACTGTCTCCTTAACATTTGAAAAGGTGCCTGAATACTCCCCTTCCCTGGATGAGGAGGGTATTTGTAAAACAGCATTTGAGATTATATTTGCTTTCGATGAAGCCATCTCTCTTGGGAACAAGGAAAATGTAACAGTGCAACAAGTCAAACAATATTGTGAGATGGAGAGCCATGAAGAGAAGGCACACAAGCTAATGATGCAAACCAAAATCAATGAAACCAAGGATCTCATGAAGAAGAGGGCTAATGAGCTTGACAAAATGAAGGTCTGACTATTTTTTACCAGATTTAAAATACATCGAAATTCCGTTTAAGTTAGGGTTATCGGTATTTATCTGTCAATTTAGTCTTATTTGACTATGCTTCAAGCAATGCCACAGTAAAGGTAAAGCATCCAATTAAAAAATATTTTGGCAATATATGTTTCTCATAAAATAAATTTGGACCTCTGCAAAAGCATAAAGAAAAGATGAATTGCTGACCCCTTCAGATATGATTAGTAGAATGAAAATTTCATCATATGAGAGCGAAACACAAGCTATTTAGAGAAAAAAATAGTTAGGTTTCATCACCAAGATGTATAAATTGAAATTTCATGCCAGGCTATTTTGGGTATGAATTACTGCAATCATGTTTTTTGGCTTTAATTCATTATTGTCTAAGGTTGTATATTTTTTGGGTGGTGTTTATTGCAGATGGAAAGAGGCAAACTTGACAAAGGAGGATACTCATCAATATCTGGTCCACGCATGATTGAAAAAACTTTCAGTGACATGAGCATCAGTGGTTCTGGATTTGGTAGTGGTTCTGGATTAGGTGGACTGAGCACTGACATGGACTCATTTGCCAGCAAGCCCAAAGGTAAGGCGGCTCCTCTTGCATTTGTTGATAAATATTTTATTTTAGAAAAAACCAAACTTGTTGCACCAGTGATCAGTTTATGTTGATGATTTAAATTTCTTCTTTCTTTTGGTATTTGCATCTAGTTCTGTTTCATCCTGCTCTTCTCCAGATATCTAGGAAATATATTACAATTTTTTTGTGTTTTTTGGTCAACCATGAATTTTTTATTTCATGGAAATGTATTGAGATATTTTATTGTTCCCAGTTCTTGTATAAGTGGATATTTGAATCATGTATAGTACATATATACACCTTAATTTTTTTATTATAACTCTGCAGTCACATCATATCTAGGGAGCATGCAGACACCCAGATTGTTAGGCTTATCAATCCGTTGAACTTTGTAACTCGTACTTAGTTTACAAAACAAGTTGATGAGGACTTGTTTAAATAGCAAATGAACTTATGTACCAGTGCACTTTGTCTCTTTCATGATACATTTATAATCTTGTTGTGGTAAACTATTTAATTTAATCATATAGTGGGGTACGAGTTAGATTCAAGTTAGCTAAACAAAAACTGGAGGGTTATATAGTAAATACAAATAAGTCTTCTGTTGTTGTGTTCCATTGTTGGTTAGTGATAGCTCAATCTTGTCTTTCTTTTGCTCATTATGTAATTAAGTTCTCAAATCTTTCATGACCTTTATTAGGGCAACAGGACTAGATTACCTTACTTCCAGTCAAAATGCTAGAGACAGTACAGGGTTAGCATATGACCCATATTTGGTTCTAACTGCAAGCAATATTTCTACAGGTCGTCCATCTACAGGAGCTACTGCACCTGGTAAAGGTTTCGGTATGAAATTAGGCAAGACACAGAAGACAAATCAATTCCTCGAGTCTTTGAAAGCTGAAGGAGAAGTCATTTTGGAGGATGTACAACCAAGTGCAGTTTCTACAAGATCATCTGCTCTTCCACCAAGTGACCCTGTCACAGTGACTATAGAAGAGAAGCTCAATGTTGTTGTTAAAAGAGATGGTGGTATTAATAACTTTGATGTTCAAGGAACACTTGCTCTTCAGGTTCTTAATGATACTGATGGGTTCATCCAATTGCAGGTAACGCCCTTTCCTAAATTCTAGCATTTTACATTTGTACTTGCTTTTTTCTGTCCCTTTACATTTGCGAATAGAAAGCTTTAACTGTAGAAAGTCATAATAGTATAAAACTTTATTTTATTTTATTTTCCTCGTCACGTGAACCTATACTGATATTGCTATCTGTTTAGGTAAGAATATTACCTTCTGTTGTGGTCACCTTCCAACCTAAAATAATTCCTCTACTGCTCTTTTTCCCCCATGGAAAGACCATTATTTTATATTAGTATGACATTCACCTTCATTTAGGTTATGCTATTTTTTTATTTGCCGATAATCAAATTCATTGCACAGCAGTATATCATCGTATGAATTAGTTTATGAGCTGATTTCTCTAATATATGATTTGTTGTAGATTGAAAGCCAAGATATTCCTGGGCTTAGCTTCAAAACACACCCAAATATCAACAAGGATTTGTTTAATGGTCAGCAAATTTTGGGAGCAAAAGATCCAAACAGGCCATTTCCAAGTGGTCAAAATGAAACTCCTCTGGTGAAATGGAGAATCCAGGGAATGGATGAGTCATCTTTACCTCTGTCAGGTGGAAATCTCTTTGTTTTCTTCTGTCTAACAATTTACCAATTTTGACTTTTGGTAACATACTGTTTCTGACGCAGTCAATTGCTGGCCGTCGGTATCTGGAAATGAAACCTATGTGAACATTGAGTATGAAGCTTGTGAGATGTTTGATCTGCACAATGTTGTCATATCTATACCTCTGCCAGCACTTAGGGAGCCTCCAAGTGTCAGACAGATAGATGGAGAGTGGAAGTAAAATTTTCTTTCCTCTTCAATTTATTCATGCTTATGTTTTACTAAAGTATATTGCATAAACTTTTTGTGACTAGTGCATGACCTTATGCCACTTGGTTGCTGTCCTGCTTTAAGTGAGGCCTTTTTATTGTTAATCTTAACAAGTCAAAATGTGATACCCCCAAGACTTTTGCTGTTATAACTGGTATATCAAGCTGTTACAGTGGACTTTGTGTATATAACTTGACTGCTGTATCCTACGTAGTACGCTAGATCTGAGTTAGCTGTGCAATATAGATCTGAATAAGCTCCGCATTGTAGATCTGAATAAGCTATGTTACTGCATTACTTCATTTCTTCGTGGCATTACACAATACCTTCTTTGTTTTATAGAATTGAGCACTTCAGCTTGTCCTTGTTGTCTTAGTTTTATTTTTTCTTGTGCAAACAGGTTGGACTCGAGAAACTCCGTGTTGGAATGGTCTATTCTCCTTATTGACCAGTCTAATCGCAGGTCTGAAATATTTGAATATTTAACTTGTGATTATCGTCCAATTTTGTAGATTGACTCTGCTTGTAACTATTCCCTCCTATACCGTTTGCAGTGGTTCCATGGAATTTGTTGTTCCCCCAGCTGACCCATCATCATTTTTCCCCATCTCTATTGGATTTTCTGCATCGAGTACTTTCAGTGATCTGAAGGTTGGTTCCCACATAATTGTCGAATGAGCCCACCATGCTTGTTGTATCCCTATTCATTCCTTAATTTTGCCTACCTGAAACTTTTCAGGTCACTGGAATCCTTCCTCTGAAGGAAGGCAACCCTCCGAAGTTTTCTCAGCGGGCTCGTTTGCTCACTGCTAACTATCAAGTTGTTTAATTAATGCTTGTACCACAGCCTGAGTGTTGATCCACTTAAATATTTCCAATAGCAGATATTTGTGATATGACATGTTATTGCCATGGACTTTTGCAAGCCATGGCACGGAAGATCATTTTGCGTTTGGAAAAATATGCTTCTCATTGTTAGCATGTTGACAAATGTTGTTCTGATGTATTGCTACCAGAGAAATAAGTAATGTTCTTGCATTTCGTTTGCCAGCGTTTTGTACCCGTCTTTGTTCCCCTCCTGAGAATCTTGTCAGGACAGTGTTATCGTGTAATGTGATCTGCTGATTTTATAGCATCTCCACCAGATCTTTTATCCTCATTCTCCTAAGATCTCTCAAAAACAACTTTTGGGTATGAGAGATCTTCACCCCATATATTGCCAAAAAGCTGTTCCTAATTTTTATTCTGACATGTAGGGCTCACGTATCAAAATCAAAATACCTAAGAGCAAGTATAGTAAAGGGTTGTAGGTCGACCGTATGCTGAGGTGGAGAGAGGGAAGGAGGTGGAGAGAGGGAAGGAGAGAGAGAAGTGGGTTCTAAGTTAGAGCTGACTTGACAAGAACCAAGAATTTTTGTGCGAGAGACGAGTGAAACATGTATTAATAGTGAAAATATAAATACTATATGGGTGGGCTGAGAGGCAGGCTGCAAGAATTCAAACAGTCACCAGCCGTATTATTAGCCTTTTTCTAATATTGGATTTCTAATACATATATGATACAAATATCAATATCCAACTTATTCGATCTGTATTCGGCTCTAAATAAAAAAAAAACAACTACTGTAATATCAATTCGTAAGGAATGAGAGTAAAGAAATGGCGGCCCCTTTCCTTTCACTCAGGGGGCATTGTCGTCAGGACAAGCTTCAAGGGTTCTTCCATATATTTAGGTATAGAGATTGACGTTGATAGAGATCTAGATCTTTTTATAGATAAATCCTTTCAGAAATTTCTAATGATCCACTTTCAAGATCTATGAACAAGAGAGCTTGGTTGATGATTTCACTCGGGCCTAGTGGCAAAACAACAAGGCAACGTAGGACCCACTGGTGCCAATTTTTTTAATTTACCCTTTTTTTATTTAAAATTCACGTTTACATCTCTGTGGATATTTACAACTGTTTTTAGACGTAAATCATTATAGGCTATGGAGCCGAGGTGTTATACCTCAGCGCCGTGGCCTATGGACCAGGTGCTGACCTCTGGCTGAAAAACGGATTTACGACCGCCGGGAGTGTAAACGTAATTTTTTTAAAGGGTTAAATTAAAAAAATTTCGGCCACTCGTGCAGGACGGACTGAGCTGGCATAATCCCAAATGCCAGATCCCTCGTCGGTCCCTGCCTCCCTGAACTCCGTCGAGCGGTTGACAGGCTGAGGCTCCCACGGTTCGACTTCTACGGCGAGCGACGGCCGCTCGCCCGCTCGGTCCATCACCGCCAGCGGACGAGCCCTAGGAGGAGGCAGCGGAGGCGCATCGCCCACAGTGCATTGTAACAGGGGAAACGGTATGTACGCCTCCGTTTCTTCATGGTTTTTTTTTCCTTCTTCTTTCCGGGAATAATTCTATTTCTCCATGAATGAAGCGGACCCATCTTGACACAGACGCCATCAGCATCAGTCAAACTTGTGATGCAGTTCTCTTACCAAATAGACAAACAGTTTCCGAGGAAATCTCCAGTAGGAGAAGTAATTTGGGTGCGCTTCTTTCTTTCTTTTTTCTTTTTTCTTTTTTTTTTTGTAAATTTTTGGGTGCGTTGCGTGCACATTCATTACTCCGAAGCAGAACTGCATTTTTTTTAAATGACAAGTAGTTGAAAATTTTGTAGTAGATAGATCATAAACTACACTGCTGCAAGCACTGGTCTTCCGAGTTCGACTGCTCACATGTCAGGAGAGTAAGTTCTCTTATTACAGAAGTTAAGAATGAAGAACACCTATCCCTCTAGTCTCTAGTAGGAGTCTGAACGTAGTCTTTTGTATTCTTATCAATTATTAAAACTTCAAATGACGGCATTATGTCCGGAAAACTTTGAGCACCATGTGTCATACTAGGAGTTTGCAAAGTAAAATTTCAAGTGGATTTTCTATTTATTACAGGGAAATCTCTCCTCTGAGAAAGTCAAGGTTTCAGCTATATACAAACAAATATGCGGTCAGAATCAGTTGACTCAGCAATGGAGTACTGCAAGTAGCTATTGTAAAATGCAAAGGGGCTGTGCTGTCTACGTCTCATCCGGATGTAACTATTGGCAGAGCTTGATGCTTAACATTGACTTTTCTTTCGGGAAAGCCAACCGTGAAGTTTCCACGAAAATATTGCATCTAGTTCAGTCACCATCATGACAGCTTAAGAACGTTGCGGAGAGAAGATGCCATTGCTCCAAGTACTCAGACTGTGCACCCTGCCAGATTTACCTTGTTTCGAAGTTTGGCCCTGGCGCATCTGAGTTTCAGTTAGCAAGTCTTCAAGCCAGCCGTCAAATAGGTGAAGACTATCTCTGTGATTCTGGTGTTTAACAATTTCCTCATCAAACAATGAGGTCGAGTTTCATATGCTTTTGATCTCTCCTCAGATACCTTCCCTACAAAAGCACAAAACCATGGCTGCCGCCGCCGCAATCATCGCTGGGAAGTTGGCCGGGAACTCGGTGGCAAATGCAACCATCTCCTTTTGGATCAGCAAAGCTTTCACCTGCCTGACTGACTACTGGAAGGCTGATGGCTTGGAAGATGTCAAGGGTAGGGTACTGCAGTCAGTGAAGAAGGTCCAGGTTGTATTTGATATCGTTGACCCCGAACACATCAAGGAACAAAGCTCTGCCCTGGATCTTTGGCTGTGGCAGTTCAGAGATGCAGTTGAGGCAGCAGAGGATGTGATAGATGAGCTGCACTACGACGAGCTTAGAGAGAAGGCAAAGGATCATAAGGTCAGTGACTGGGGCTCCTCTTCTGCTAAACTGAAGCATAAGATTGTCAAGTCTGTTAAACATGTCGGTGTCATGGGTAAGACTGTGAAAGAATTTACTCACCATGGCACGCTCAAGAGGCTGAGGAAAGTCTTGGAGGGACTAGAAAAGGCGGCCACCGAAATTGTGGCTATCCTCACAGTCACACAACATCTCAAAGACATTGCTTCAGGTAGTAAGAGGCAGGTGAATTTTATGAACAGGGATCATGACACTGGTTCAACATTAACTGAACCTTACTTTGTTGGACGAGAAGAGGAGAAAAAAAAGATCATTCGATGGCTGACTCAGGCACCAGTGGAAGCTTCTGAAATTGTGAGAAGTACTCACCATGTTCCTATTCTCTCGGTAGTTGGCCATGGTGGAATGGGGAAGACTACATTGGCTCAATATGTATGTGAAGAGGATGAGGTTGTAAATAATTTCAAGGTTATATGGGTCCATGTTTCTACTAGATTCAATGCAACTTCCGTGACAAGTAAACTGCTGGAATCCGTCACAGGGTAAAACCTTGTGCAGATCATTTAGAGACGCTTCAGCAGATGCTCAAACAAGAACTCAGGTCTGTAAAGTTTTTCCTTGTTTTGGATGATGTCTGGGAAGATAAGAATAAAAGGAATGGGAAAATATATTTGCTCCACTGAGGAAAGCAGAGAGTGGGAGCAAAATTTTAGTAACAACCAGAATGCAGTCAGTAGCAGATATGGCTGCAAATGCCATGGGGGTTGAAAGAGAATACCTGGAATTAGAAGGGCTGCAAGAAGATGAAAATCTTAAATTATTCAATCATCACGTATATTCTGGTAGGAATCCACAAGATTTTGAAAATTTAAAACCCATAGGTGAACAACTTGCAAAACAACTAGGAGGATGTCCCTTGGTAACAAAGGTTGTTAGCGGTTATTTGCAGTGCAATATGGATCCTGACAGCTGGACTGATTTCTTACAAGAAGGCCTGGTACATTTTAATGGAAGTGAAGATGATGTAATGGAAACTTTGAGACTAAGCTACTACTGCTTGCCAGCACAGGTCCAGATTTGCTTTCGATATTGCAGCATATTTCCGCAGGACTACGAATTTAAAAAGAAAGATTTAGTGTTGATGTGGATGGGCTCAGGATTGATATCACAACATGGAAACAAACCAAGAAGGATTGAAGATATTGGGTATCAGATCTTGGCTGAGTTAACTAGGAAGTCATTCTTTGAAATGAAATTCAAGGTAGTTCAGTATAGTCAGAGAAGAGAAGAATATTACATCATGCATGACCTGATGCATGAACTGGCAAAATATGTTTCTGCTGGAGAATGCACAACATTAATTGATCCTAACATGTTGGAAAATGAGAGTGAAAATATCCGACACTTGCGTATTGCTTGCATTGACAAATTTTCTACTGAAGAGGTCAAGAAAATCACACGTTTTAAGAATCTGCGCACCGCTATTATTGATGGTCCAGGTTTGATTGACAACGATATGTTAGGCATGGTTGAGAATGCTATACAAAAATCAAAATCCTTGCGTCTACTGCGATCAAATTTGGAGAACACATTCCATCTTCCTAAACTTGCTGATTTAAAGCACCTTCGTTATGTCTATCTGCATAGGATATCACTTGAGGGAATGCGTGGGCTTGTTAAACTTTATCACTTACAGCTAGTTGATTGTTTGAATGATTGTGGGGAAGAACTGAAGCAAGTGATGTATTTAGGGAACATTGATCATCTGCGATATGTAAATTATGGGTTATGGAGAATTGGTGAGTTTCCAATTGGAAGACTCACTTCACTTCAGGAGCTGCACAACTACCGGGTACAAGGAAGTAAAGGTAACAAAATAAGTGCTATCAAAAACCTGAAGGCTATCCATGAACTAGAGGTTTTCAGCATTGAGAATGTTGAAAGTCTTGAAGAAGCTGATAATGCCAAGTTAAAAGAAAAACGTATCTCAACTCTCTATCTCTCACGTGGTCAGCACGTGCTGATGCAGAAAATGGGAAAGATGACTTGATTCTTGATCACCTTGAGCCACATGCTCACATTAGAAACTTGAAAATTTCTGGATATTGTGGTGCAAGACTTCCTATTTGGATTGAAAACGTCCGTGTCAAGAACCTGGTGTCACTTGAGTTAGCAAGATGCATATATTGGGAACAGCTGCCTTCACTCGGAGAATTAGATTGTCTTAAGAAACTTTGGTTGGAGTGCCTTCCTAGCCTACAACAGATTGGTCATCCATCTCAACTCTCCAACATTAGATGCATTGGTTCATACCTTCCTCCACATCTTGACACGTTGATTGTAAGACGTTGCAAAGAACTGAAGCAGTTACCTATCCTACCACCCAGCTTGGTTCATATGGAAATATGTAAGGTCGGGTTGACCGAATTCCCAAGGATAGGCAACCTACATGGTGAGAGTATTGAAACCAGGCCATCTAAATTGCAGTTTGTCAGTGTTGAAGAATGCGAAAGTTTGACCTTACCTAAAGGAAGCCTTCTGTTGCAAATACACTACATCAGAACGATCCATGTCCTACACATCAGTGACTGTAAAGAACTGGAGTCTGCACCCCTGTTTGATGAAATGATAAATCTTAGGGAGCTTAGTATCAGAAATTGCCCGAAGCTGAGGGCATCAAGCGAAACTGAAGGCAAGAACCTGTCGCCATCACTAAAAAAGCTTATAATCAAGCAGTGTGGTGATCTAGTGCATTTTCTGATTAAGTCACTGCATGGTCTCGTTAACCTTTCTGAGCTGGTACTAGAAAATTGCCCCGGCCTTCTATCCCTTCCGTCAGCTGATGTGTGCAAGAGTCTCACGTCGCTGAAGTTCTTGAAGATAATTGGGTGTGAGGATCTCTCATCATTTGGTGGACTCAGTTCCCTTTGTTCCCTTGTTGAGCTGAAGATTAGCTCCTGCAGTAAGCTTGCAGCTCCACCTGTATTGGGTGGTGCCGCTTCTGGTCCGGCTAATGATTATGATGATGATGTTATAGAAGAGGAAAATCCGGTGTTGCCTGTCAGTTCCTTGCAGATAGATTACCTTGAAGTTGATCTCCCATGTGTATTGAACATTGAACCTCTCAGTAGTCTTTGCCACACGAAAGGATTGGTAATTGGAGGCGGAACTCAGTTGGAGAGCTTGCCAGAGCAATGGCTTCTGCAGAACCACAAAGAACTCCAGTCACTGAAGGTGTTATGTGCCAGTTCATTGGAGTCTCTGCCGCTAAGTATGCGAGACCTGAGAGCGCTTAACTTCTTGTTGTTGTCAGGAGCTGGGAAACTTACATCACTTCCAGACATGCCCTCCTCCCTGCGATGGCTCCATGTCATAGGCTGCTGTCCAGAGTTGGTGACCCAGATTAGAGTGAAGGACAGCCCTGAATGGAAAAAGATCTCCACAATTCCCAAAGTTCACATAGCTGCTGCCAAGACTGTTCAGTCTTGTCCTCATATTTTTCATGGTATATATGCATCTCTCTGATCTGCATACACAGTTGCTTTACATGCGAATGCTGAGTTTTTCAATTCTCCATTGTTCTATGCCATGTGCGTAGAGAGATTAAAAACTAAATAGGCCTGTGATTTACCTATGTTTTAGAATGTTATCTAAGCTTTGTTTCTCTTTCTGAAGGATAAACAAATATCTTTTTTTTTTGCGGAAACTAAACAAATATCTTGGTAGGGTAATATTATCTGGCAGTTTTGCATCCGTACCTAATACTATGTAGATTGTATGTCTGGATAACGTTTACCATAAACTATTTTCGCGGGGGGCAGGGGAAGAAAAACAGAACACCAAGAAGCAGGCTTCTTTGTAGGCAATGAAATTTAAAGTAGAGTGGACTCGTGGGGAATTTCCTAGGCTGCAGTCTTTACCTTAAATACTCTATTTTCATTGCTTATTTTTACTACCTATTATCTAATGACTGAACATAAACTTATATAGGTGGTTATTACTTCATCTATGGAAAAGAATGCAGTGAAGAGACTATATATGAAGGAAGTAATCAATAATCATTGAAGCATAAGCCTGCTTCACTCCGTGTAATTCAAATATGGGGTAACTATTGTTGTGCTTGTTAATGTCTTTACTAGATTCTTCTTGTACAATAGCTCTGGTACTTTAAAATCTTTGTGATTGTGCACGATAGCATATTGAGGTTGTAGTTGTTGTTTTGCTTTTGTGTGAACAGTGCATACCAGGAGGAGCGACATAAGTTCTAGAAAATAGTGTTTTAAATCTCCAGCTATGGTATTTAGTGGAGAGCCTCTCCAACAGCTATTTTTTTAGATGAAGGAACCTTTATTAAAATAAAGTTCTGGTCTCTGTAACAAGGTATTACACACGACTATTACAATAAGAAAAAGAAAGAAAGAAGAATGAGACCTAGGATGCTCTAAGCCGTCTATCAGCCGACAATCCAACTATGTACAAATGACTTGACACAGGCAACTGCTCTATCGACCTGTATTCTATAGTACCATGAAGTGATATAGCCAAAGCCTCTAAAACTCCATCGTCGTCTTACAAAACAAGGTGATGAACGGTACATCTAAAGCATCTTATATGTCTCCAAAGTTTGCCTGTTCTTCGCCAACCGGTCATCTAGTAACATGACCCAATAGCAATAAACGTGACCGAAACAACTGAGTAGATGACCGTCATGTGATTCTTCTTTCCACAAAGCCTCATCAAACTAGAACCCCCCTTTCTCCTAAAATACAGGTTGGTCAGCTGCACATCCAAAGACGAAGACTAGACCTCCACCATGTCCGTAAGCCGCCGCAGGTTTATCAACAATCAACATCGCACATAGCAGGGCTAAAATGAGGCCAAAACTATACATTGATGTGAACACATGGTGGAGATATATGCCCATGTGTGTGTGATGAATGATTGACACAAGAGTTGAGAGGTTTGAGGTTTCCCCAGTTGAGTCATATTTCAAATATGCTTGATTTTGCTAATGGCTATCCGGAGGTGTCGTGTTGAGTTGTGCAACATGTCTCTTAGCTTGTGAATGTGCAGCTGTTGGGTGTGCCAAGATGGTCGACGGCAATGGAGAAGGTCAGATGTGGAGTCCAGGTGCGATGGAACGGGAGCGGTGAAGGACGGATGAGAAGGCTTGGACTGAGGGACCAAAGACCATACAGACATACCATGTGCATCTCACATTAATTGGGTACAGAAAGAGCAAGAGTACATGGGTGGTGAAGATGGCATCAAAGTCAAGGAGGAGGACGATGGTGTCGTGGCACTTGGTGGAGGCCGGATATGCATCTACATGGATGATGAAGATGGCATCGGTTAAGTCAAGAAGGAAGGTGAAGGTGTCAAGCTTGACGGAGGTAAGATATACGTCAAGATCGGTGAGTCACGCCTCGTGAGGCATAGATGAGGGTTTTGCCGATCATCCTCAAAACCGGGGATGGACGGTTGTTTGGGCCTCAAAACCATTGGGGAGGGCTTTGCTGGTTTGGGCCTCAGAACTAGGCATGGACGGTTTGACCGGTTTGGGCCTCAAAACCGGAGAGTAACGGATTGGCAGACACGTGGTGGAATCTTGGAGCTTGCGTCAACATAAAGTCAAGAAGACGTCCGGTCCATTGGATTGCTGAAGAAAAACGTGGACGTATTTACCCCTAGGGGGTATTTTTTAGAGAATTACACAATATAACGTAGACGCCCACAACACGCACGCACACTCATCCCTATGAACACACGTACGCAAAACCTACTCCTATGAGCACCTCCGAAGGACTGAGCCAATAGTTATCGAGATTCACGAAGTCACCACGGGCGCCTCGCTGTCGACGGGGCCGTTGCCTACCACTTAAAGCATAGCACTGTTAAATCATGGAATAAGTCTAGGAAAATGCGAGCACTCGTGCCAAGTCGAGGATTTAAACCCGGGTGGGCAGGTTTCACCACAAGGAATCCAACCAACTGATCTATGATTAGTTTGCACCCTAGGGGGTATTTGGGCTAAGTGATTCATGTAATTAAAAGCAACTTGGAAAATAGCCAACTGCCTATTTATATATGAGAGGTGGTTGATTGTGAGGTAGTCTTTGGAAGCCTTTGGGGATTAGGCTCTCATTTGGCTAGTTGAGAGTTTTGCTCAGTGATAGAGAGAGAAGAGTTGTTCTTAAGCTTTTTGCCATCCAAAACTTTGACCGGCTTATCTTGATCTAATCCAATCCTTCTCGGTGATTGAATTCGTGCTCAAGTTGTTCCTCTCCAAATCTGAAATTTGTCTTTTGGGGGATTTTCGAAGCCTTTTTTTTTGTGATTTTCGATCTGCTGCTTTTCCTGAACTGTAGGATCTATTTTGGGGTGTTTTGGGACCCTTGGAACTTGTTCAAATTATGGCTTGAAGCCCAACACCTATCTCCAAAGTCCCAGGCCTTGTTCGGCTGGTTGGAAAAACAACTGATGCTAATGCTGATTTGTTGTGAGAGAAAAACACTGTTATTTCGCTGAAACGGTACGGCTGATAAGTTCAAGCGAACAGGGCCCCAATCCCCAAAACTCTTCTTTTCTAGCCTCTTTTGGTGACTTTCTTGAACATATTGGAGCTGAAGGTTTTGGGTTGTTCTTGGTTGATCTTTAGGTGCTACGAGCACCAAGAACTTACATAGCCACTGATTTTCACTGACTATACGTGAAGGAAGTAATCAATAAATCATTGAAGCATAAGCTTGCTTCACTCCGAGTAATTCAAATCTGGGGTACTATTGTTGTGCTTGCTAATGTCTTTACTAGATTCTTCTTGTACGATGGCTCTGGTACATCATACTCTTCGCGTTTTGAGGTTTTAGCTGTTGCTTTGCTTTTGTGTGAACAATGCTTAGACAAGGAGTGACATAATTTTTAGAAAATAGTGTTTTAAATCTCTAGCTATGGTATTTCGGAAAAGCCTTTCGTCAAGGTTTTTACTGGCCCACCGCGCTACGAGATGCAGAGGAGGTCGTCCGCAGGTATGAGGGATGCCAGTTCTACGGCCGGCAAACTCATTTGCCGGCACAGGAGCTTCAAAGCATCCCATCACTTGGCCGTTCGCGGTCTAGGGCCTCGACATGATAGGGCCCCTCAAAAAGGGCCTAGACGGCTTCACTCACCTACTCGTAGCGGTCGACAAATTCACCTAGTGGATAGAGGCCAAGCCCATCACCAACATTCGCTCGGAAGAGGCGGTCAAGTTCTTCCTTGATATCATCTACCGTTTCGGCGTTCCTAACTGTATCATCACTGACCACGAAACTAACTTCACCGGAAAAAAGTTCCTAGACTTCTGTGACGGATACGGCATCAGGATCGACTGGGCCTCAGTCGGACATCCACGTACTAACAGTCAGGTCGAACGAGCCAATGGCATAGTCCTTCAAGGACTCAAACCATGAATCTTCGACCGACTCAATAAATATACCGGGCGATGGGTTGCAGAGGTCCCAGCGATCCTCTGGAGCCTAAGAACGACCCCGAACCGATCCACAGGGTTCACACCCTTCTTCCTCGGCCTATGGAGCTAAAGCAGTGTTGCCCTCCGACCTCGACCACGGCACCCCAAGAGTGAAGGCCTTGGATCACATGACCGAGTCATGCGGAGGCTCAAGCAGATTTAATCGACACCTTTCGAGGAGGCTCATGAGATGGCCATCATCCACTCCGCTTCGCTACCAAAAACTCTCCACAGTACCATGAAAGGAAAATCGAGGGAGGATCCTCGAGGTCGGAGACCTCTTACTCCGAAGAACCCAATCAACCAAGGAGAAATACAAACTCTCTCCGCCATGGGAAGGACCCTATACGGTGACCGAGGTGATCCGACCGGGCGCCTACCGACTAAAGGACGACAATGGTAACGTTCTCACCAACACTTGGAACATCGAACAGTTACGTCGTTTCTTCCCCTAAAAATTCGGTCTTACCGCTTTCTTTCTTTCTTTCAACGTTTGCTCCTACAAGCACCCTGGCCCGAACACTCTCGGCCTGGGTCGCTTGGGGGCTCCACGAGGGTGCGATACCATCTTTTTTTTACTATCATATAGTAAATACTTTTTACCCGAACGAAAGGGTAGTCCGTTCCTTTAGTCACCCTACGTAACTTATGTTTTAAACTCCCGACCGATCACACCCCACCACGACCTACGGTTCTGACAAGCAAATTGAGCCTCATGCTACCCACGACGAGTTCTTAAGGTTGCGCACCTATGGGTCAAAACGCAAAAAGCGAAAAAGAAAGGATAAAAACAGAGCTATGCTAGGGTAAAACAAAGAACGGATAGGACAAGCTTCCCCTCATGAAGTGATTCCATCACAAAACAAAACTAATGTATTCATGAAATACAAACTGCTCACACGGGCTCCCCACGAACTTAACTTTTACATTTGCAGACTACTTCTACTCTAAAATCTACTATGGCCGCTCGGCTGACGACGCGACCGACGAAGATAAGGGCTGCTCGCTCTACGATGGG